TTTATATTAATTAAAAATTTTGAATTTAAATTAGTCAAAGGGTTTACTTTTAAAAAGACAACTGCAACAATTACCAAACCAATACCTGGAATTGATCTAATGGTTTCAAAAGTTAAACATGACTTTGCAAGTGTACTTTATTAGAAATACCAAATTTATATTCGAACACTATATCTTTTAATTATTTGCTTATTGAAATTATAAATTTATATTGTGTTAATTAATAGAATAATATCTGGTTTATAATAAGTATTAAGGAAGTTATAATCAAGTTAGAAAAATTTTAATTCTTAACAATTCTACTTATAATTTTAAAAACATCTTTATACATGAATAAAAAAAAAGGTATATAAACCGTATATAAGAACCTGCATCTAACTTAGTGTTGTTGTTAGACCGTTCCAGTGGATATTACTAGAACTATATGGAACAGTTTGGAAGATATAACTGTTCCAATGGTAAATTGTTGCTAGACCGTTCTAAATGGATCAGTTTGGAAGATATAACTGTTTCAGTGGTAAATTGTTGCCAAACCCTTCTAGTTGCACTTTTTTTTTACTTCTAGATAGGATGTTCCAATGACCTCTAAATGGGCCAAGACGTGGTACATTTTTCAGCATCAAGTGACATAGATCCTTCACATAAAATTTAAAACTTGAGTGATGATTTCGCGCAAATACCTAATAAACTTCGATAAATTTTTTTTTTGTCTGAATTCCATAAGAGTTTAGATTCAAAAAAAAAAAAAAAAATTAATGAAAATTATCAGGCAGTTGTTGAGAAAACTGAGTTCAAAGTTTTAAAAAATTTAGGCGGGATAAATTTTGATAAGAAATTTTTAATTCGAATTTATTTTTTTTTTGTAGTATTGAAGTAAGAAATTCATTAAAATTGATCAGGCTTTTGTTAACGCGCCTAGTATCTCCACCCAAATCAGTTACGTAATCGCTTTTTAAATTTCAACCTGCGCACAAGAATAATAGAATAACGAGATAACAGGATTTTTGAAGAAATAATCGAAGTTTTTTTTTTATTATATTTATTTACTTATTTAGAATTTCGCTACAAGTCATAAGTCAAATTACACTCAATTCAAATGTATAGAATGAAATTCAAATTTTATTTAATACAGCTATAAAGCTTCAAATTTGAATTTTTTATGCTATTAATAAAAGGTAGCTTGTTTGCTCGTTCAAAATCTTTAATGTCATCTACTATTTTTTTGAATACCCGTAATAAAAAAATTTAGCATATTTCCATATTAGGCATAATTTAAAAATGCCATAGTAAATACACTTCATGATATTACATATCACTCCGTTCCTTAAGAAGAAATTTTGGCTGCCGATCATATGCACAAATGAGGCACAAAACGATTAATAGTAAAAAATATTACACTGCATAAACAAATTAGGTAAGTCAAAAATTGAATATCGTTAAATAGAGCGAAATTCACAGTTCTGGATAAATTAAAAAACTACTAATTTATATGTAATTTATTTAAAACTATTGATACTATATTAAAAATATTAAAAGAATACCATTAAAGCTTATTTTTTTACTCTTCGTATAGATAATATTTATGAAATAAAGTTATAACACTTAATTTATAATTTTCTCCCTATTCTCAAACACAATACCATATTTCATCAGCCTAGGTAACGGTCCTATACGTTTTGTTTTAGATCCAATCTTCCCTATCTCAGTTCTAATATTATATTTTAATATAATTCTATATAAAAACACTTTAATCTCGTTAATAGTAAAAAATCTACCCGGACATGCATGCTTTCCACCTCCAAATAATAAAAAATTACGATCAATTTTTGTTGCAGGAGAATTACATTCTAAATGACGGTATGCATAAAATTCTTTGGGATTTTGACCTTGAAGCTTTTTATCATAATACGTATCAACAACATTTAAAAAGACCGTACGGCCTATAATAATTTTAAGTAATTAGAAATATGTATAATAATTGTTACGATTTGAAAGTTGAGAATAAAATCAAGAAAAAATATTACCATTTGGGACTTGATATCCATTTGCAAACGTATAATAAGATTTAGAAATACATTTGTGTGGTAGATCAATTATAAAATCGCTAGATAAAAATCTTAAAGATTCTTTAACAAAACTATCTAACTTCACCATCTTATTTATATCATCAGATGTAAGTTTGTTTCCATTACACAACTCATTAATTTCCTGAGCTTCCTGATGTAATTCGTGCCAATATCGTTTTTTTTCTAACAAATCTAAAATTCAAATAAAAACATATATATAAGTAAAATAGAACTAAAAGTACTAAAAACAGAACATAACCAACCATATAAAACATAGGTAGCACTATGAGCCGTAGATCCCATAGCAGCAAGAATAAAATTGCTGATTGCATCAACAACGTAATTATAATTTACATTATTTGGATCGAGATCAGGAGTTATTTCGGGGTCATTTAAAAAACATTGTAATCCATCTAACTATTTTTTAAATTGAAAAGTGGTTAAATATTTTATAATGATAATATATATATATATATATTATAAATAGCTTACTGGAGCAACCCAAGCATCTCCTAATTTCTTTTTATCATAAAGACGTTTTTCGATAATTGGTTTAATGCGATTGATAATTACATTTTTATGGTATGAAAGCGGATTCCAACCAAACCTTAAAGGTATTCTGTCAGTTAATGATAAAATAAATAAATTTTGTTTGTTTTTTTCTTAACGAAAAAGGTATCGGTAAAGGTGAAACAAAATAAACTTTACGTGAGAAATTGAATATGAAGCCAAGGATGTATGAAAGATAGTATTGGTGGTGTAAATAAAAGTTTAAAAATTGAATCTGCTAAGGTTTCAAAAGTTTCCAATATATCATCATAATTGCAACATTCCTATTTTTTTTTATTACAAGAAATATTTAAATTAATGAAAAAAAGAAATTTTTACACAATAACCATACATACTTCACCGACAATCATATTGGCAACCGGAATTGCAATGATTTTTGTCAAAGTTTTATGTGGATCATGAATAACCTTTGGTTCTAATAATAAATAAATTCATTTTAAGTCTCTCATGAGAAATTTTAAGTTAAAATCCTAAAAGCATACCAATACATTCACCAATATAAAGATCTATGGCCTTAATAACGTCTTTTTGTAACCTGTCCATAAGGAATTTTGATTTTCCTGTAATATATTCATTCATTATTTTATTATTTTTCGCAAGATCCGTATTACTAAATATGTGATTTATAGGTAATCGCTGGTTTTAAATTGAATTATTTAGAATTTATGATGATAATAATTTTCGGATTATCCGAAGGATTATTGTATTCGCTAAAGATTGTTTAATTACCGTTTTAACAGCTTCGATAAAATCAAAATCTTGATCTTTTTTTAATATTTCATGAGTTGTTTCCTTTCCAGCTATGGTCATTATTTCACCTAATACATATAGTGAGAATGTCTCTCCATACTATTATTAAAAGGCATAAATTATTAGCATAAGATTTATTTATACAGTAATTATTTTTTAAAAATAAAAAAAATAAATAAATAAAACCTTTTCTCGTGATTCTAAAATTAATTTTTCGCAATCCATTAAAAAACTCCATGTATGTCCGATAATTGGAAATCGATAATAAGCAAGAGGTGGTTCATTCTAAGAAAGTTAATCGTTACATTAATAATTTAATCATGAATAAATATTAATGTGAAAAAAAAGCTTACTAGTTTAGAACGCCTCGATAGTTTGAAATAGACTGCTGCTAAAATTAATCCTATAATAAATGATTGAATATAAATGTTTCCTAATAAGATCTCAATCATTCTTTCCAAGTTTTTTTTTTTTCTTGAAAGAAATGTTATCGCGACTAGTGATGATACTTCTGAGTTTTAGTTAATACAAGTTACTCTCGTTATAGTGAAATGATTGACCTATTAGTAAATTTCGAGTAAATTCACTATATCGGGAGGATTTTTATATAAACTGTTCTTCACTATACAGTCAACTCTCTTTATAACGAACCTCTCTAGAACGAATTCTGGATATAATAAGCCAAAAGTTTTTGAATTTCGTATTAGTTCGGTATAAAAATAGTTAAGGTTTCTTAAAAAAACATAATAATTTTATATAGCGAGCTTAGTTATATCCAGAACCAACAGTTCGTTATAGAAAGAGTTGGCTGTACTTATATCGAGAGTTCCTATAACAAGAGTAACTTGTAATGAAAAAATCAATAATATTAATCGTTAATCTTTTTTTTTTTATTTGAAAAGCATATGAAATATTACTATTCAAATATATTGAATTAATAGTGCCAGATATTGAACTTCATTGAATGATTTTATATTAATAGAATTGTGCGTTAAGAAGATTTAACAAATATTGCTTCTTGTGGATTTTAGCGCTTTTATATTTCCGAAATCAGGTTATGATTAGTACGTAATTACATCAAGTTCCAAATTAAGCTGTTAATTAAATATACATAACGTCATTAGGAAAATTTGAAACCTGATTATAATCGACTAACAGAGAACCCGTGCTTTGCATGGGATCAGAGTTGATTTGATAAATCGACAGTTCTATCCATAAGAAAAGTTAATTTTGTAAAATCAGTATATTAACAATTTACTGTATCAGCAAAAGATTCGGGAAGTATCAAGGCAGCTTTTGTCCTGAATCAGCTATCACCTGATCGAATGTGTGACAGGCCCTGCAACTGATGCAAAACATTCATTTTTGATACACCTGCACCTACTTTTTTGATACTGATCGACATGCAGATCCCGGTAAAAAA